TTTAGGACACTTAAAATAAAAAAGTTAAAGGGGGGCGACATTATAGGGAATCACCCTGTACATGCAATTATCTTTCCTAGTTGCACGACTTATAAACTCCAAATCATCTATATTTGCCCATTTCGAATTTAAAATAGTCTTTAATAGTATACTACAAAAAGTGGATAATGATTTTCAAAAATAATTAATTAAAATCTGACATCTGTCAAATGGTAAACCTCGCTTTTTACCAATTTTAAATGTTAGTCGCCTTCTAACAATTTAAAACCCGATTGGTTCAAACCACAGTGAATATTGAAATAGGCCAATCACTGATGCCTAGCAACGTGAATACTGAGTTTATTATCCCCGTTGTTAGGCAGGGAGTTAATAATGTTTATCATTATTCGCGAAAAAACAATATTATGCAATAGTAGATAATAGTAAGTTTGATAAACGCCATTTTAGTCACGAATTTCATGTAGGCACGAGCGAGCTTGAGAGCGAGTGCTTAATTAAATAAGTGCCTAGAAAATATTATAAACGAGTTGCATACTATACTTTTTCTACGACAAATACTTATTATTATCTAAAAAGTGATTTAAATTAAATATTTGTATGAAGTGACATCTATACGAAACTGAAGTAACCATCCCAATAAAAAACATTTTTGACGTAACATTTATTGGTACTGTAAAATTTTAACATAGCCCGTTATTACTTTAATTAAACTTAAGAATTATTGATATTTAAAAATATTAAAATAACTATAAAATATGATTATGTTAAGAAAATATTTTATCCTTTGATTTATTTTATCACTATACCTATAGGTATGGTAATAAAAAAATCAATTATAATTGCAAAATATTATCAAAAAGTATTAAATATTGTTACACGGGAAATGTTAAAGGTACAAAAAGTGAAATTCCCGTTAGAATTTATAACTAGGGAATCTACCGCCGCGGCGTTAATATCTCAAATTTTTCTAAGTAAATCAAAATTTAGTCTTTAAAAATAGACTAAAAATCGATATAGAAGCAGTTTTTTACAGTAAAAGCCAACCAAACATTTTTATTTTTTAAAGAAGTCATTCTTAAGTAGGGATATAAAAAGTTTTGATTGTCGGTTCTGGTATGGTCAAGAAAATAGCATTGAAATAAAATTGGTATTTTATCTACTTAAAATGTGTTTGTTAGGTGTAAAGAAAATTTTAAAAATGATGTATTTTATACCTAAGGGGTTTATGCCGTTATTGATTTTAAAACTGAACAATCAACATAAAATTTAGCAAATGCGAATGCAAAAGTTTAAAATTTAGAACTGCGAATGTCAATGTGAATATTCGTTACATCGCTTCAAGTTTTTTTTTTAAATGTCTCTAAACCTCTATACAATAGTATTTATAAATTTATTTACACCCACCTTTAAAACTCCAATTATAATTGGAACGTTGAAATAAATTTTAAATAATACTAAATATGAAAAATATTGTATTATCTCAAGACAAAAATACAAAAGTATTAAATATGTTTTAACGCCAATATTTAAAAAGTTTATATACATGTTTGTACGGACCTTTTGATTTCGCCATCAGCACGGTCTTATAAGAGTGTGGCCCGCAGTAAACTAGATTTAACTGATAAAGCATTAAAAATTCCACCGTAAAGGGCCCATAAATTATTTTCTTCACTTTTACTGATAAAAACTGCTTCTATATCGAATTTAAACGATTGTTAGTCCATTTTGAAGGGATAATTTCGATCTTCACAGAAAAATTATATTTGACCTCCTGTAATACAGATTCCCGTTCTTACGTGAATCGCTTTATATAAATATTTATTTAAATCATTTTTATATAAAAATAAGTATTTGTCGTAGAAAAAGTATAATAAACTTTTTAAGACACTCATTTTCTTAATCACGCGCTCGCACCTAATTAAAATTCATAATTAAAATGGCGTTGATAAATAATATTTTATTATATAAAACCGCGAGTATAAAACTTTGCTATACGCTAAAGGGGTATAGGGTTTTCGAAACGCGCGCGCCATCTGGTGGGCTTCGATACCATTGCGTGAATTTAAGAATTGTCAACAATACATTAAAAGCACAGATTATACATGATTTTTAAATAAATAGGTAGTTTTTTCACAAAAGAGGGGAAGGCAGAAGTCTTACTCGACAAATTTTGTTCAATTGCACAGCTAAATCGCGCACGTTATTTGTGTTTTACGTTTACAAGGGAAAATTTTAAAATCTTTTTTAGTACTCGATTTCGATTGATTATTTTTTATATCATTGATTAAGAAACTCAACGCTTAAATGCTTATATAGTTGGTAACTATTAGTTACGTTAGTGTGTATATTTTATCTAAGGGATCATGGTGAATCGGTAAGTACATTTGGTGGTGCAGAATTAACTAATGATAACTTTACCTAATATAATTTATATTTAAGTTTGGATACTTTTAAGAAATTATTAAAAAATAATTTTTGCACAAACATAACCTTAAAATCAACCATTTTTATATTTGAGTTTTGTTAAAAACGCCGACAACTGCATTTTAAACAACAAAATATACCTACGAATTCATGGCAACATAATATTATATATAATACATAATATAATGGTATTTAACCGTTGAGTGGAGACTTTCTTAATCAACGCTTTTAATAATTCTAAATGCTGTTTAAATTTAGACGACTTATTTGTTTGACGATTTTTACTGAATTAAAATGTTTACACTTTTCCACGTTAATCACTACTAAAATGTGTATTTATTGTATCTAATAGGGACAATTTATATTTACAGAGACGGTATGCAATTTATTTCTTCATTCAGATTAACACTGTTTATTGGAAAACCGGTAAAAACTCAACCCAAGATTTCCTCTCGAAATCCACCCAACAACACAACAAATCGAGCCGCGGTTTTTTTTTTTCGATAATTTTTAACATTTTCCGGCTTTATTTTCAAAAACACTCTTTTGTAACATAAGCGTTTGACAGCTGATTATTAAAAGTTATACTTTTGTTACGATGATAACAGCCGAGTGGTGGCGCTACTAGCGATACTTCTTTAGCGTATACATGAAAAGTTAGAATATTCAAATAAACTATTTTATATATCAGGTAAAGTTTTAACATTTTCCGGCTTTATTTTCAAAAACACTCTTTTGTAACATAAGCGTTTGACAGCTGATTATTAAAAGTTATACTTTTGTTACGATGATAACAGCCGAGTGGTGGCGCTACTAGCGATACTTCTTTAGCGTATACATGAAAAGTTAGAATATTCAAATAAACTATTTTATATATCAGGTAAAGTTTGCTTTAAAATTTTTATATGGTTGTTTATAAGAAAAATATAAAATGTATCAAGAAGTTATGAACATAAATTGATATTTAATAAAGTTAAGCGTTATAAATCAAACATTTTACGTCCATATTCGAAGCAAACATTGAATTATGCGATTTAACACTTCGTTATTCTTAGTATAAAAAGAAAATATACTTTTAATATGATAAAATCTTTAACACAACACCAACATATGTTTAAACTGCAAAGGAAATGAAGTGATAAAATGAGCTTAGGAAAAACATCACTTTAATATTTCATGTTAAAAATAAACAAAACATTGACAGTTTATTAAAATATGGGGAGTAATATTTTTCTTCATTAAAGTAAGCGTTGGAAAAAAAATCTGCTGGATGTTATGTAAAATATGATTTTTAAACGTAATTTATAAAATGATATTTTCTTGATTACTCCAGGAAACAAAGATTGTAGTAGGAAAACTCGATAGTCGGGTTTAATTTTTTTCATGTAGAGTCAGGGGTGCTGATAATGAATCAAGAATATTTCCCAAAAATTTCTTTCCGCGTCCCCTAATTTCATCCCCCAAAAGGGGAGTTTTTTGCTTTTTGGCTCATAACTCGCTAACCGTGCATTTTTTAAGAATTTGACCTCGAATACTTTTGATTATGTACTAAATAAGGCACACGTTAAACCCTTCGCACCTATATGATGTGCCCTTTTGCTATTCGCAGTGTGCAAAGTTGAGCGTTGCTTTCAAAATCACTTTATGTTTTTTTTTATTATAGCCCAATTTTAAAAGTAATCGATCCCAAACCTTACGGTAACCAACCATACCCGAATGGACGATTTTTTGAGGTACTAGACTTTTTTTAAAAGTTACTGCTTTTCAATGTACCATTTTTTATTTCCCAACGGTTTTAATGAGTCAGTTCGTTCTACCCTAGATTTGTAGGTACACCTATCCTCGTAACGAATTCGTAGTTTTTTTTTAATTATTTTCATTGCAAGTGCCCCACAAAAATTAAAGTTAGGAAAAAAGTCGTTTTTTGCTTTTTTTTGAATTTTTTCACCCATTGCCCGTGAAATCATTTAAGTCATTTATACATTAAGTTATAGACCTTTTCAAGACACATGTATGCGTTATATCAGTATTTTGGTCTTTCAGACCGTTTGGCCAAAAATATTTTTTTTTGGAAATTAAATAAAATATATTTTTGTTTTAATTATTTCGTATACCTATGCATTGTACACCTTTTTCTCTTATATGTGAATATGTGACTAGATAGCAGAGTGGAAATTTTTCAAATTAACATTTTCGACTTAAATAATTAATTAATATTAGATTGCACTGTTTGATTAAAAACCATTATCTCGTAAATTATTTCAAAAAATTATTTTTTTATGAATTTTGCCATTCCATTTCACCGTGATCTCGAGCGGTAGCCCAAAGGACGAGCTCAAAAAAGTTGAAACGTTTTCTGAATCTTAGATTTTCAAACTTTTAAGTAGGTACTTGAAAACATTTTCAAAATTCCGTTTGTATAACAGGGCAAAATTAGCCATTGTTTATTGATAAATGAATTTTTCTCAAAAAAGTTTATAACGTGACTTAAAATTCATGAGTAAATTAATTTATTATGGTGGTATTTTTTTGCAATATATTTTTAACTTGGTATAAACTAATAAAAATCTACTTACCTTTTTTCCTAACGTTAAAAAACATATCGGCTATGTGTGCTAACGGTAAAGGGTCTTCGATAATAAACAGAACTCGGTCTCGCGACACTTTGGCAAACAATAACAAGTCACTAAACAGCAACGTCCAATACTGACGCACATTTCTTCCTTCCACTCTGCCTAAGTCTCCGCCGAAAATCCACTGTCTTCCTGGCTTGTTCAGAACAAAAGGCTGAAAAAATAATACTGTCAGTATATACATATATGTACCTATTTTAAAAATAAACTTTTTTCTGTTAAAATAGTTTACTGGTTTTTGATTTTAATCGGAATAATCTAGTAGTCAATAAGAAGAAAAGTCCATACTAACTTGTAGTTTTAAAAGCTTCGTTTTTGAGATACAGGCTAGTAAAGATATTTAAAAAAATATTTATTTTTTCAAATTTTTTAAAAACTCCTTGGCCAAATTTAATAATATTTTTGAGGTTTTTAGTAATGGGTAAAGGACATAATTTAATGTAATTTAGTAAACTTTTTGCTCTTGCATTTTTTCTCAATCTTAAAAAAAATTCGCAACTGGAAAAATTAGGCTCACGAGCGGATAAACGAATTTAATTTGCAAGGTTTAACACCCTGTATTTCAAAGCATTAACAAAGCATTAAAGCATACAAGTTCATATAAACTTAGTTTTGACCATTAAATTTTAAAATTTCCCGATTAAAACACTTTGTATATTGGATGTCGTAAAATAACCAATAAAGAAGTTTTTTATCTTGTAAAGAAAATCATGTATTGAGAGGAAGATGGATTTATAACAAAAAATAAGGCAATATTATCAAATCGACAGCTGTAGAGCGTGCTGAAAATGGCGCACTAACAGTATGCCACGCTGTAGAAGAAGTATTATTATCCCTATACACATATTTAATAATTTTAACCAAATATTAACCAGATCTTATATTAATCCAGGTCCACATAACTTTATCTTAAATCTATAACCAGAGCTGGGCACAAGTACTAAAAAAAGTATTCGTAAAATGTTTAGTACGAGTACTTAAAATATTTAAGTACTTTACTCGTAAGTACATTTGTAAAGAGAGGTTACGGTTACGAGTAGTCATCGTGAAAACACGAGTAAAGAGTACTTTTGAAAAAATATGTTAGTTTATATAATTAATTATTTTTTATACATTATACGTACTTAGGTCCTGAGCTATAAACATACATTAGGTATAATGTCGCATGTAGTAAAAAATACTTTTTTTCTACTATAAAAAATTTGAAAAGAGATCAGTATACAGGAAAAAGTTTATTGCTTAGAATTTTACAAGGAATCGAAAAATAAATTCCATTGAGAAAAAATATACTTTTTGTTTTTCCATGTATACTGATCAATTCTCCAATTTTTATTTGGGACACTTAAAATAAAAAAGTTAAAGGGAGGCGACAGTATAGGGGATCACCCTGTACATAAAATAATAAAAAAAATTAACAATTCTTAAAAAGTTTATAATTTTACCTATATACTTGTTAGAAAAATAAAATATATGTATAAAAACGTAATTGGGCCCTGGGCCTGTTGGATGCAAATAAATAAATAAATAAATAATATATTATATTATACTGTATATTATATAATTTAAAACAGACTTTCAAACAAAATGTTTTGATGCTTATGATATTTTGGCAAAAAGTCATCGATATAATAAACGGAAATACTCGTATATATTACTCGTGAATTCCACGAGTATTTTTACAAGTACATTGAATTTGGTTTGTAAGTACGAGTAAGTATTTCAAATAAAAAATACTTATGAGTAAAAAAGTACTCGTACTTTTTTACTCGTAATTAAAATACGAGTAAAAGTAGTCAGTACTTGGCCAGCTTTGTCTATAACTAACTGTAATCTGTTAAGTAATTGAATAAGTGGTTTGTAATTATTACAAACATTTTGTAGATTTAATAACAAAATACTGTCAAAAATTCAACTATAATTCTTGTAATTTTCAAAAAAAAACTTATTTTTACAAATCTTTTTGTAGACGCAGTAATAAAAGTATTTGTTGGAAACTGCAGTTTCCATGGAAACTTTTAAAAATGCAAAGAATTTTGATAAGAAATGTTGCTTTATTAATCAATTTCCTAAACAACACACCTTTCTAAAATCATCAAATTATAAAAAAAGTATAATATAAATATCAGAAAAATAATACAACAATTACTGATGTAGGTATTTCGTAATTTTAACCCACTTCACTGTATTCCCTAATTTCAGTTTAAAAACCAGTAATGGCATCTTTTTTCGGATACTTCGCATACTCGTTAAAAAGGTATAAGGAATCCGAATAAAAATAATAACAGATTTATGGACATTTGATACGGACGCGTTATAATTTCGAATAAAGTAAGCAAAAACATAAGTTGCAGACGCAGAAGTAAGTTGATCTTGTTGATGCGTATTGTTGTGCTAAAGCTGGATGTATGTCGATAAAAAAATCAGTGGGAAATGTTTTGATTGGCTGCCTAAAATCACGTGTACTTTTTTAACGAAATAATTTGTTAAATATTAACAAAATAATCTGTAACCTTTGAAAATTTACAAAATGCTTACAAAATTGCATATTACCTTTACAAAACTGGTTTTATACAAAAAAAAATTGTTAAAATTTTACAACTTACCACAAAATCATGTTAACAAATCTGATTTTTATAAAAATGTAAGGGTTTAATTGTTTTGAGACTAAAAAAGAATGAAAATAATTTTCTTATTTCCTATTTTTTACACAAAAAAATTTCAAATACATAGCGGTGTTTTAACTTAAATGCTTGTTAACTTAAATACTCATCCCCTACAACGTGGCATACCGTCCTGTAAAATTCTACGAAAATCAAAAATAATAAGTAACCAAATTAAAATAGTAAACCTAATTAATGTAAACTTACTTTGCATTTGGTGAAAACTAATCTATTTTCTAAATCTTGAACTGACAACAGTGGTCTCCCCTCTCCAATTGGTTCCATTAACCCTGCCTCTGACGTCATTTCTCTGTATGTTGACTGAAATCAAGATAAAAAACAAATTAATCATTAATATAAACACAAAATTTGACTAATTAAAATATTTTAATTTTTATTGACACAAACATTTTGTTTGCTTATAAGACATAACGAAAATTAAAATTAATTAAACTTGTGGTATTTTCTTGTTTAGCTTATTCGAAACTTTGCCTTAATATTAAAATAATTTATTTGCTTTGAAGATTAAATATAATAAGCTCGCAATGTGGTTACACACACTTGATAAAGATTAGAGATTTAGAAACGTACCAGAAACCAGAAAAGTATGTCATACATATTTTTTTAGAATTACCTAGTATTATGATCATTAAGAAAAAACATTTAAAAAAAATATCTCTCATTACATTTCATTTGGATTTGCGTCTAGTTTTTTTAAATAAAATGTTATCCGCGAATGTTTGTATTTCTATATATTTTGTAAATTTAGAGCAGCCCAGGGTTCCCATGTGTTAAAAAACATGTTAAAAATGGCGAATGCGCCGGGATCACGGTCTTAAAATTTAAAATTATTATACGTTTATTTACATGTTGCGTGCGGAAATTTGATACTCCTTATTATTTCTAAAAATACAAGAGAAAATGCCCCGGAAATTAGCTAATACTTACAGTACATAAAATGATTCTAAACATTGTTTACATATTTAAAATTTTGAAGAAAACCATAGAAAAAGAATGTAGAAGAACTGAACAAGAACTCTAATTAGAAGATTATTTTTTAAATTTCTGTATTATGTTTAACATACAATTGTATAACTTTAACTGTAACTATTAACTCTTAGTTGGGACCATGGAAAGTGGATTACAAAAAAATAAATACTAGTTTTGTGGTTTTTATATTTTTAATACAAAAATTTACTGTGGAAATGGATTTTTTATTAGTTAAAGAATCATGATCGGGTTTTCGAAACGCGCGCGCCATCTGGTGGCGCTTTATAGCGTTATTGCAAGTCCATGGACGTGTTGCTTTATCAACAATTCATTTAATACATACGAACTGCACATTATTTTTAAATATAATAATAAAAGAGAGGAAGGCAGGAAAAGTATTACTCGACAAATTTTGTTCAAAAAGTTTCAATTGTCAGCTTAATCGCGCACTTTATTTGTGTTTCGCAAGCAAAGTAAAAGCAAGTAAAAACTAAAAAACTTTTTTTCTACTGCCACTATGTAAAAGTCACATTTCGTATTGGCATCCTTGTTTAGAAAATGAATCTTTTCATTGGCAAGGTAAAACACGAATGTAAAGTGACATTTCTGTGTAAAAAGTGAAAGGTCTGTGTGAAAAGAAATTGACAGCATTATTTGACATTCGTTTCAAAATTTTTATTGTATTTGTATATGTATGTCTACTAGGGTGGTCCTTATTTAGGGTGTGTTCGAATTTTTCTTCACGATAGTACTAAATAGGTTCCAAATATATAAAAAAAATAATGTGCCAAATTGCAGCTCTTAATTTTAAATTTAAGCCGGCCCCCCCGACAGCCAAAGTTTTAAATGGAAATAACATGGGAAAAGTTCTGTTATTACTTTGGATTTTTTTAAGTCATGAACTAATAAACGGATTATATAAAAGGATAAATATTCTTGTAACAAATTTAACGCTCTACAAAAAAGGTTTCTTGTGATTTTTTGCTAACTTGACTGGTTCAAAAGTTATTTGAGGTCAAAATCAAAGTTCTAGTCAATTCCATGGTTTTTCCATTTTTATTGTGGTTTGATGATTCAAAAATGTAAAAAGGGTTATAATTTATATTCTAAATGACTTTTCTTATCTTGACGTTTGCTCTAAAAAGAAAAATATTTATTGATTAATATTATTAAAATTTCAAAGGATTCAAAAAAATACCAGATGGTAAGGCGGTCGCTTGGCATGCTAGGTACCGGGTTCGATACTACTAGAAGTTGTCGAACTTTTTTATTTTTTTATTTTATAAATTTGTTGTTCCTTTGTTAAAAAGTGTTGGGTTGGTTGGTTTGTTTTAGTTTTATCGTAACATAACAAATCTTAAAATTATTATACTCGGGACTAAACTTAAGTCCCGCCTCGGGACGGGAGCCACAGCAATGTTTTTATTAAGAAGTTTGAATTTAAAACTAGAGTTTATCAAAATTTTTATCAATTAAAATCAAAATCTTTTAACAATACCTATGTCCAAAATATCTTGCGTATCCCAAAATTTAAATCCTTAAAAGTTACGACAGTTCAAAAAAAAAACAATTGGTGTAACTAACTTTTTAGGGTCACGATTACCCTGAAAGTTTTCTAAAAAATAGAACCATCTAAAATATAAATTATAACCCTTTTTACATTTTTGAATCATTAAACCACATTGAAAATGGAAAAAAACATAGAATTGACTAGAACTTCCATTTAGACTTCGATTAACTTTTGAACCAGTTAAGTTAGCAAAAAATCACAAGAAACCTTTTTTGTAGAGCGGTAAATTTTCTATAAGAATATATATTTTAAATTATTGTTAATTAATATGTAAACAAGATAAAAAATTACAAAGAGCAAAACCTACTTTTTACATGTTATTTCCATTTAAAACTTTGGCTGCCGGGGGGGCCAGGTTAATATTAAAATTAAGAGCTGTAACTTGGCAGGAATTTTTTTTTATACATTTAGAACGGATTTAGGACTATCGTGAAAAAAAATTCGAAAAAAGCCAAAATAAGGACCACCCTAATGTCTACATATCATTTAGAAGTTAGAACACAATTAATTTTGTTTGTATACTAAATTCTAGTTTTTAGTGCCTTTATTTAAACTGAGAAGGTAAGTTTATTAAAAAAATAAGATGAAAGAATATTAACAGTGTCAAACACGTTTTTAGGTTATTTTGTTTTGTATTTGAATATAATAAAAAATAAAAGGGTCGTAGTTCAGTCGTGTTTCACTTGTGAGAAAAGCTTTCTTCAAGCTCGTCTTAATGCACACTCGGCCTGACGGCCTCGTGTGTTGAACACTCATGAAAAAGTCGCTTTTCAACACTTGTAAAACAAATAAATATTTTGGTTTAGTACTCGATTTCGATTTATTATTCTTTATATGCTTAACAACGTAACTATGTTATATATAACATAGTTACGTTGTTGTGTGTATTGTATCTAAGTGATCAAGGTGAATTATTGTGTTTTTAGTTGTTAATATAAGTCAAGAACTAAACCAAAGTGCATTTTCATGTTTTGCCAAAGTATTCAATTCAATAAATTTTTTGGTGCAGAATTAGCTAATGATAACTTTACCTATAATAATTTATATTTAAGTTTGGACATTTTTAATAATTAGTAATTTCCCAATAAACAGTGGAAATACGAATAATAATAATAATAATATAATAATAATAACCTTTATTGAAAGATTAAACAGAAGGATTTAACAGAAAATGAAGAAATAAATTGCATACAGTGCTTGTTAATAAAAATTTTATCTATTTGATACAATAAAAATACACATTTTAGTAATGATTGTAAATTGTCGTCTAAATTCATTGTGCATTATTAAAAGCGTTGATTAAGAAAGTCTCCACTCAACAATAAAATACCTAAAACGGGTATTATATTTCGTATTATATTTAATTTTATGTTCACTTATATGAAATAAATAATAATAATAATAATAATAATAATAAAACTTTTTTGCCATTAAATCTTATAGAACAAAAGACATAAGCAGTGTCAAACATATACAAATTAAGTAAAAGTTACAAATATATAAAAACATTAAGATTAATAAAAATAATTTTTAAAAGGCTAACAAACAAATTCTGTAAATATATACTAGTGCCCTATAAAATCACTAAATGAGTAATATTAATTTTCAATCAATAATATTTTTAATTTGCTTTTAAATAAAAAATAATCATTTAATGATCTTAAATCATTTGGGAGAGCATTAAATGCTTTAATAGCATTGTATTCTGGTGATTTTTTTATAATACTCGTGTCTATGTAAGGGTAATCTTAAATTGTCTCTATTTCTTGTTATCATGTTATTATAAATTTCATGGTTTCTTGTAAAGAGTTCAGGATTACTCTTAACAAACAACACCAGCTTGTATATATACAAAGATGGAACTGTAAGTATTCCCAAATTCCTAAAATAGGTTCGACATGAAGTTCGCAGAGTTAATTGAGCAATACATCTAATTATTTTCTTTTGAATTTTAAATATTTTATCAATATGTTTAGTGCCTCCCCAGAACAGGATTGAATATTCAATTAAGGACCAGTGGCGTAATAAGCACCCCCGCAGACCCCGCACCGCGGGGGGGCCCAGACGGTCAGGGGGCCCAAGGCTCACCTCACTCTTTAAAAGTTTAAACCAATGAATTAAAGAAATATTTAATTTTTTAAATATTTCATCTTAAAAAAATTAAAAATCCTAAAAACCGAAACGTATAAATATTTTTTGTTTACAATATTTATTTAATTCGTTGATTTTGAACATGCGCGAGAAATAAAATGCGGTAGAAAGCCATCTATTAAACGCTTTTCCAAATGTTAATATTTGCTAAATTTACAATGTTATTTGTTAGGTATATTTTAATTCTATGGTTATTTGGTTTAAAAGTTATGCAAGCATTATTTGTTAAAAATAGTTAAAATTTAACAATTTAAAAAAAATTAAATTAAATGCAATACGACAAAATATTAACTTTATAGAATTACCATGGTGGATAAAGAGGCAACCAAAATTAATTATATATTTTCTGTTTTACTACCAAAAATTGCAGATACAGGCTGTATCTGCAATTTTTGGTAGTTAAACAGAAAATATTTAATTAATTTTAGTTTAAAAAATCTTATTATATATACCTTTTTATTTGCAGATCATTTTCGTAATTCTATAATATATATCTCATTGGGATTCTTTAAAAAAAATATTTAAATAATAATTACCCAAATATTTTCTGTTTATTATATAGGTAATTATAATTCTGTTAACAAACGATAACTACACATGAACTTAAATAAGTTTTTACGCATGTGCGAATTTGCAAAGAAGCATATTCTCGATAAACAGTTTTTATTAAAAACACAGCCATTTTTCTTACCTAATCCTTTTTATTTGCTTATCTTATGTGACATAAGTTATGCCTGTCTATCGTATACACTATTTATCTACCTGTCAAAAATTTTAACTAAAAAATATTATGTATTTAAAGTGGATTTAAAAGTACTATGATAAACTAATTTAAAAATTACCTAAAGGTAATAATAAACTTTTTACTCATTGTAAAGGGGGCCCATTAAAATCGTTTGCGGGGGAGCCCACTCAGAATTTGTTACGCCACTGTTAAGGACTGCACGTATAAGTAGTAAAAAATTCTTAGAGAACTTGTTGAAACTTGATCCCGCAAAAATCTTATTAAGTAAGTTGATGAATTTAACTTTTAAATTAATTGTCTAATATATATTAGGGTGTGCCAAAAAAACTCGATATTTTTTTTGCTTGCTCTCCACCCAAAATATCGTAGAACATGTCTGAACAAATATTCTGTTAAAAGCGGAGCTCATAATTTCAATTTTAAGAGGTCCTCCATCGAATCTGAAGTTTTGCCGCTTAAATAACACATTATACATTAGGGTGTGCCAAAAAAACTCGATATTTTTTTTTGCTTGCTCTCCACCCAAAATATCGTAGAACATGTCTGAACAAATATTCTGTTAAAAGCGGAGCTCATAATTTCAATTTTAAGAGGTCCTCCATCAAATCTGAAGTTTTGCCGCTTAAATAACACAGAAAACTGACTTTTTTACCTTATTTATTCTTGCAACCTAGGAAGAATTTTTTTTTTCATAAAATCCATGACTTATTCTTACAAAGCATTAAATTTGGACAAAAAAATCTTATTAAGCCGAATTTCTATTTTCATTATTTGATTTTTTACAGAGCTTTAAATTTAAAGTTAATAATACAAAAATGATGACTTTATACGTCTGTAACTTTTAGAATATTGACGATACAAAAAATTCGCCTTAAACTTTTTTGTGGTCCATCAGACAAGCTGAAAAATTGCCATTTGACTGTTTCGTCTAACTTCAGTAGTTTAGCTGAAAAAGGCAAAAAACGTAAAATTTTAAATTTAAAGCTCTGTAAAAAATCAAATATTGAAAATAGAAATTCGGCTTAATAAGATTTTTTCGTCCAAATTTAATGCTTTGTAAGATTTGGTCATGGATTTTATGAAAAAAAATTTCTGCCTAGGTTGCAAGAATAAATAAGGTAAAAAAGTCAGTTTTCTGTGTTATTTAAGCGGCAAAACTTCAGATTCGATGGAGGACCTCTTAAAATTGAAATTATGAGCTCCGCTTTTAACAGGATATTTGTTCGGACATATTCTACGATATTTTGGGTGGAGAGCAAGAAAAAAAAATATCGAATTTTTTTGGCACACCCTAATATACATCCCACCTAATGTTGAAATTGAATGCAACACCCAAAAATTTAACCGATTCTACTTGACAAATTGATTTGTTATTTAATCTTACGTGTAAGGATTCCAGTATTTGTGATTTAGAAAACAATAATAAATTTGTTTTGGATCCGTTCAATTTTAGATTGTTCTCATTGCAAAATGCAGTCATTCCAGAGGTAATATTATTTACTAACGTAACTATATAAGCATATAAGCGTTGAGTTTTTTTATCAATTATATAAAGCGAAACACAAATAACGTGCGCGATTTAGCTGTGCTTATTTATTTAAAAAATATAAATGCAGTTACTATGCTTTAAATGTTTTGTTGACAAACCTTGGACTTCAACGATGCTATCGAGTACCACGAGATATTGCGAAAACCTGGAGCTTCTTTAGCGTATACTAAGATTATCAAAAATTCATTTTCAGTGCCATTGGTATTTAATTAAAATTTGTATTTAAAAATAAAAATTGAAATTAAAATTATAATATTTCGAAAACTAGAGATAATATAAAAAAACCGAAAACGTTATTTATTTTTTTGTAATCATGTATATATTTTTCATGATCAGAAATTTTTTTGTTGCACAATGTTTAAAAAACATGGCATTATCATTTTCTTTTAATATAATTTTGTAAACCTAATCTCCCCTAATTTTTTTTGTAAATTTTTAAAAATATTGATATATTGTACGAGTGGTACATTAGTTAGTTATTTTACCTGAAGGTCATGTATAATTCGATTTATCACAGCGTAATCTTCGTTCGAGGGCTTGGTGCAGCTCTGGATGACCGTGAGAGTCCTCAGAATCTCTCTGTAGTGCTCCAACGGTTTGTGTATAAACGAGGTAATATCGGGTCGCCTGCGCGGCACCGCCGGAACCTGCACGAACCGCACGAAGTCCGAGTTGGAGTTTTTTAGTTTTCCGGCCAGCACGCAGTCCGCGCGCTTAATGCCTGCGCAATAGCGCTTGTAAGCGGACGTTATCTCGGTCAGCTTCGCGTGGTAAGTGCGCACCACGTTGTGGATCGTCGGCTCACCGTCTTCGTTCACTATGCTGTCCAGGATGTCTTCGGTTAGCCTTAATATCTGGAAGGATAAATATAGTAATTAAGGGGTTATGTGCACTAGACAGGGCACAAAAAATCAACTATTTTTACATTTTGATCTTTTAACTTTGTAATTTTGTAATTCATGTAAAAATCAATACCTCTGGGTATCAAATGCTTTACAAAAAAGCCTCTTAACATTTTTAGTTAAATTCACTCAATCAAAAGTTATTTAAGGTTAAAGTTGAAGTCAAAACAAAATTCTTGCTTTTTCCTCTGTAGATTTATTTTTTATGGGTGATAATTTGATTTTTTTTCTTTATAAATGTGTAGATATTATATTACTAATTAACAATTTCCAATATAAAACAATATGATTGTTATTATTTAAACAATTAAATAGGTAACAGTGAAAATAATATTTTCCAGTGAAAATAGCTTCTTAAGAGTTGTTTCACTTTAATTAAAGTTTGTGTTATTTTTTTTAATTTTCAGTAATTTTATCAATAACATAAAGATTATCATCGATAAAAGAATTCGTTTTTAACTGACCCAAAAAAAAATCTAGAGCGGAAAAAACAATAATTTCGTTTTGACTTTGAATAAGTTTTGATGGAGTGAATTAGTTAAATTAACATTAAGTTAACATTAAACTGATTTAGATTAAACACAATAGTCATAAATGCACAGATGTTAAAATTGTGGAAAGAGTTCATTATTTGCAAATTTAGGGGCGGTCGTTATTACTCATGTATTTTTACCGTAAATTGGAATTAGGCGTAATTCTCTAGTAAAATCACACTTAAGTCGGCTCGACAAGATAAATTTGCTATGGTTATAGATCTATTCAACAAGACGGTGTACGTATTGTAAATTGGTATTTCGAGAACACTCTTATTATACCGGGTGCGCTAAAAATATCGGATTTTTGGATCAAATTTCAGCCCAGGGATATTCTACAATAAAAAAATTTAAAATTTAATCTGTTGAACAACAAAGACAGCTGAAAACAAGCCTTTTAAGCCATTTTTTTTAATAACTTATAGGGTTTTTCGAAAAATTAGCCTATTTTTCATCGTTTAACAAATTTCTTTTTTGTGTTTTAGAAGCAGCTAAATTTTCCAGCGAACGATACAAATGAAGACGACTGGAGATACCTCCAAAACCTTTCCTTCATTTAAAAAAATCATTGTCTACAACCTTTAAACACCCTGTATTCATGTTTCAGTTAACGTTAAACGAACGTTTAATAAATACGTTGTAAAAACAAGTATTTATGGAGTTTTATTTATTATAGAACTAACGTTAGAAAGGACATTAATATGCAGGGCCGTAGCGACGGACTCAGGGGCCCTGGTGCCAAACTTTTCAGGGGCCCTCGATTTTAAAACTTTATGTTTAAAAGTAGGACTTGCCTTCGCGTTATTATTATAGGGTACACAGTAAAAAATTTCTGGTAAAAAACAACACCAAAAGTGGTCTATATAGGTCCACACTAGAAATGGTATATCTAACCAAATACAATTTGGTAAATTTTACCCTTTTTAATTGGTTAAAAATCTACACGTACTATTCGTACAAAAAACTCGTAACAGTGTAAAAATCATCAAATATAATACACTCTTAGGGGTAAAAGCAACACGCAATATTGGTAAAAGAACTCCATTTAAGAGTAGAACATGCTCAATTTGGTGTAATTTACTACACATGTAGGTGTTAAAAATGGTGGGTGTTTTAATATTAAACACAGCATGTAATGTAAAATAAAGTATATTTTATATTACTTACAAACTATTAGATATGAATACAAATAGGCTTTGCCATAAAATTTAAAAAAAAATTATTAACACTACTTAGGTGTATTCTTATACCCAAGAAGTGAATGAAAAGTAGTACTTAATATTTTAAGTGTTTTCTAGTTTGTGCAAAACCATATTTAGCTTATATAGGTATTTAAGTTAAATATGATTTTTCACTAGCTCAAAAAACTTAAAATTTTACTAAATTTCATATTTCACTTAAAAATCACAGGTAAAAAAAACATGTTATATCACAAACATAAGTTGCATCCACAGTCACATTGCACCACTTTACCCGACCACTGAATTTTAATTTAAAAACCATGGTCTTAAAAAAGCATGCATAGGTACACTACCATCAACTGCACTCGGAATACTGATCGCACCCTTGCCGTTAGCGAATGGTGATGACTACGTGACTTTTTTTTACCACAATGTGTGTAGCTGTCAACAAATAATAGTGTCAAATGTACACTGCGTCGAGTTTATCTTTAAATTAACACTAGATTGACACGGTGCTGTGTAAAATAAATTAAAATTAACACGAATGAATTTTACCACAATTTAAAATAAACACTTAATATTTTTGACCAATTTTAGTGTATAAATTAACACCAAATGATTTTACCACTCCATTTGGTAACTTTACACCGAAATATTTTTTACTGTGTAATGAAATAACATGAAATATAATGGGTTTTTCATAAAGAGTTTACATTTACATTCACGCTCGTAATTTACATTTCAGAATTATAATACTATATCTTATTACTCTACTACTAAACATATTTCACATATTTTGTGACAGTAGTACATTTATTCTTTTACAGCCCAATTTTTCCATTACCAGTGATTTTTAGTATTACTAGTACATACTGTTGAATATGGTTATTATATGATGTGGCTATCATGAGATGTCACTACTTTTTACGAAGACTAATGGAATCACATCTTTTAATGAAACTAAAAGTACACAAAACAGCAAATATGAGCAGGGGCTCTCACATATTTGATGTTTTGGTTTTTAAAACGATTTCTTTCTCAATTTCATCGCTGCAAAATCATTGATAGTTTTCTGAAATCAATTTTTCGGGCTCTCTCATTCTCGATCGATAGAACTGCTAATCCGTTCAATCTTTCTTGCCCCATTGAACTTCGCAAATAATTATTGATCAGTTTCAATTTTGAAAATGATCTTTCAGCCGACGCAACGGTTACTGGGACGGTGAGGTACAATACACAAGCAGTGTAAACGTCGGAAAAAGTGGACATTAAATTACACATATGTGAAGTTAGCAGCGCTTTCGATACCCAGCAGTGTGAGTAATTCATACATGTGCGCATGCGCACATGTATGGTTTTTGAAATAAAGAAGATTGAAAGTTTAAAACGGATATCCTGCAGGATATCGATTTTTATCGATAGGATAGGATAAGATATCGAAAATTACGATTTTTTAGTAAAACTTTTTAGTTTTGGGGGCCCCTTTGAGGTCGGGGGCCCTGGTGCACCGCACCGCCTGCACCAGCCTCGCTACGGCCCTGTTAATATGAATTTAAATATAACATATACATAACATATTTGGTTGAATGTAAGAATGAATTTTTACATTTTTAATGTTTAAATTCAAATTCCGCCATTTGGAATAATGTATTTCCTTATTTTAATAAAGACGTTTATTATTATTATTATTATTATTATTATTATTATAAACGTTATAATTAAGGCAAAAACAATCTTTAATTTACGTTATTAATAGACGTATATTAAACGTTTTAAATGTAACATTTCTAAACAAAATAATGATCGTTTTCTTAACGCCAAAATTAAACATTTATTTATTAGTATTGTTAAACGTTATAATCTGCGACATTTTAAAGTTGATTGTACGTTAAAAATATATGTAAAAACAAAATGGTGTTACGGGTTAAAAAACGTTTAATTTACGTATGTGAGTTTACTGGGTTTTTTTTAATTTTCAGTAATTTTATCAATAACATAAAGATTATCAACGATAAAAGAATTCGTTTTTAACTGACCCAAAAAAAATCTAGAGCGGAAAAAAAACAATAATTTCGTTTTGACTTCAAATTTTACCTTGAATAACTTTTGATGGAGTGAATTTAGCCAAAAATGTTAGGAGACTTTTTTGTAGAGTATTTGATTTTCCATAAGAATATCTATCGTTTTTTTTTCCGGGAACTGATTTTTACATGAATTATAAAATTTCAAAGTTAAAAGATCAAATTGTAAAACTATACCAATTTTTAAGGCATGATTGTAAGAAAACGATTCATCTGACGGGAAATTCCAATCAAACCATAATTTTTTTTGTCACCTCAAACAATATTTTCGATATACTTTACAAAAAAATAGTCGATTTTTTTGGCCCAGGTGTAGAAAATTTTCAGGATTTTTTTTATGAACTGTTGTAAGATACACTATACAGGGTGTTTCTTTTAACTTGAGACAGCTGAATATCTCGAGAAATACGCATTTCACGGAAAAAAGTCTTAAATAAAAGGTTAATGTGACTAAAGGGGACATTATTTGGTGCTACCGCTAGCCACCCCCTACCCCTCCTTAAGGGTGAAACGGGGGGTAACTTTGGAAAGTCAAATGGAATGACCCGATTTTTTTCACAGAGTTTGGTAGTACATAAAAAAATAAATAACTTTTATTTAAAACTTTTTTCAATTTATCAACAGATGGCGCTGTAATTCAAAATTTAAGAAAAATGAGTTTCCTTGTAAAATGTATTATTTGAAACGTTTGAAAAACAAAAATTAACATTAACAACAATAGTCGGCTATGAAAACAATTTATAACAAATGTTCGAAATGTCGTCATTCCATTTCAACACATTTTTGAATGCGGGTAATGAATTCTGGCACACAACGCGCCAACATATCGGGCGGTATCACCATGTCCTCCCAAGTTGTAGGAATTGCAGCGTAAACTTTTTCTTTCAAGTAACCCCACTGGAACAAGTCTGGTGGCGTAAGATCAGGTGAGCAGGCCAAATTACTGGACCACGTCTACCGATTCACCGCGGTGCACCGGCCATTGAACACCCGATCCAACACCTCTCGAGCAATTGTCGAATAATGTGCAGGACAACCATCTTGCTGGTACCACATGTTTTGGAGCCGTGCTAGTGGTACATCCTCCAAAAGGTCCGTCAGATCGTTTTCTAGAAAATTCCGGTACTTTTCGCCGTTTAATGCACCGTCAATAAAGA